TACGCAGTCCAACATTTACTGATACAACTAATGGTTTAATTAATACACCGAATAATACGAATAATAATGATATATTACCAGCTGTTGGTAAGTATGAAAAAATATGAAATAGAAATAAAACAACAAAAGTTATTTTTTAATTATATTTCTAGGTGAAATTGTTATATGGGATGAAAAAGATCAAGGTGGTTATATGATTGATAATAATGGATCATGGGCTAAAATAGAAGGACGTCAATGGTTTGGTAGTCATATATTTAAAAATTGTAGTAAAACACCACTTGCAAAAAGGTTATTTATCTTAATCATTAATTTTATTTTTTAAATTGTTTTAGTCATCAATTAACATAACATGATGATTCATAGAGAATACATAAGATTCCTTTATTCATAAATGACACAATCGATGACCTATGTCCGTTAATACATTTTCGTTTTTGTAAATAAAAACGACGTGCTGTTTGACAAAGAGTATTAGTTTACGTTAAAAAAATGATGAATAAGAAGTCACTAAGATTTTATATTTAAATATAATCATATTTGAATTATTCATTGTTGATAAAAGTCTTTCAACTGATTAATCACTTCCGATTTAGACCTATGCACATCATGTAGACTCAAATAAAGTATTTTTTGGATTTTAACTTCAAATTTTACACAGAAATGGTCTTAAACCTTTATGAACAATATTAAAAATACTTTGAAAATATTTTCAGCTTTTACAATAAATTATTCTATTCAAAAATAAGTTTTCTTAATGTGTCTGGGGAAGATCATGATTTTGATTTTAAAAAATATCGTAAGAATACAGTAACTTAATAATATTAAGCTAATTGTGCAAAATCTTTTCATAATATATATATAACTCGTTAGGATCTCAGGTAGTGGAAATCTACCTAATGGTTTTAATAGCCAAAAGTCTCAGAACACTTTGTTGGAGTTACTTTGTTTTTAAATGCTATTTTAAAGAGCATAAAATGTTCAATAAAATGAGGACTCGCCGCATATTCTACGACCTTCCCTTAAAAATTTATAAGCATAAGAAAAAAAATGATCTCGTACAGTTCCGAGTCAAAAGTCTTGCAAAGAAGAAACTTCTGACGTATAGTTCAGAGTATTTATATGTTCACTATCAGATTAATAATAGTTTTACTTTTTGATGAAAAATCTTCATTACAACTTTTTTTTTAAATAGTTTTCGATCACGTTTTCGTTTTATTCGTCATTTGGATAAAAAAACTAATCATCATCATCATCAAGCACCAATAGCACCGAAAACACAACAAATACAACAACAAACATTTAAATTTCCTCTTCTTATGGATAGTTCGTATTTTTAAAACAAAAAAAAATATAGCCAAGAAAAATTATGAATAATTTTATATTTAGCTGCTACACTTTCACCAGTACCGGAAGCAGATGATTATGAATCATCAGAATTAAGTTTATCTGATATTATTATTCGAAGTTCAGCAACAACACTCAATAGTTCAAGTCGACGACAACAACATCAACCATTAATGAAATCTGAACGTAAACATGATTTATCCGTACAAAGTCAACAACAAGTAAATGATAATCCTTATTTATATTAAATTCTATTTAAATTATTTTTGAATTTTAGATAACAAAAACTATTCAAGCATTAATTCATAATGAACAACAACAACAACAACAAAATGATGATTATTATAAACGAATTGGAAATAGTGGTGATGATTCAAATTATATGGGAATGTCAGGAAGTGCTCTAAGAGATTCATCTATAACTGATCAAGAAACAGATCGAAGTTTAGGTAATGAAATAGATGCTGGAGGACCAGTTGTTGTTAGTGTACCAACTATGATAAGACGAGATGATGATGCTGGTACAATAACAGATGGTGCTGATTCAATTTATAATCCACATTATTCAATTCAATCTCTTAATGAAGTAAACAAAAGAAAAATAAAACTAAATAAATATTTATAATTTTCTTTTTTTTTTTTTGTTTCTTAGTATCCTCATCGAAATTTTGTTCAATCAAATTCAAATACAGGTCCATTTTCAACAAAACCATCTATAAGTACATTTAAACCAACAACAAATAATTCAGTAATAGTTGGTTATTGTCAAACAGAATTTCAATCACTTGATCCAAAATCATTATTTAAAACAACTGAAAAAGCATCATTAATTGAACAACAACCATTTTTTCGTTGTTCACAATCTGTACAATTATCAACATATGATTCAGGTTTTGTTGATGAACAAACAGTTGGAAGTTTAACAGCAGTTAATAATATAAATGAATTAGAAAATAATTTAATCAATAAAGATAAAGATGAACATATGAGTATGGATGATATTTTATTAACAAAAAGTGAAGAAGATGATGATGATGATGATTTACAATTACATGGTTTAATAACAAATGAATTAAGAAATGCAAATCAACAAAAATGGAAAAATGCTTCAAAACGTGTTTCATTTCAAGGTTTGAATAATTTTTAAAACAAAAAAGTTTTATTACTGCACCTTTTCCATTATACTAATATAAAATAAGTTAAACTCTTGCGCTGCAATTATTTTTTGTATGCAAAGCTCTCTTAATGCTAATGATTATTTCTCATTCTAAAGATGTTGATAGTATGGATCATGAACCTTTAATACTGCCAGTTTTTAATTATTTTAGTTAGAGAAAAAAAGCCTTGACATACACAAGAAGATTTGTTTTCTCGAAACTAATTTTTACAGAAAAAAAAAATTTACCTAATCTGAAAGATTCAAGTATTCCTGAGACTCGTTATTTTTTTTTCGTATTCTGTTTGTCTTAATTTAACATTATGATTGCTTTAATCTGCAAATAAGCTTGTTGTACATATTTAGTATATCTAAATTCAATAGATGAATACGACAGATACCAAGTAAACTGTTTGATTTATCTCAAATTTTGAGATACTTCGGTGTAAGTTGAAAACTGCAATTATTACTATCTACAAAACATACTACAAAAAAAACTCATCTTTCAAAGGGTAATTCATCATTGAACTTGATTAATCCAGCCTATAGTTAACATACAAGGAAGTGTTACTTTTTTCTTATACTTTTGCTTGATATTTATTCAAAAGATAAACTTAATTTTTTTGTTTCTTCATTTAATTCTATAGAAGAACATATTACTCAACGTTTTTCTCCACCACTACCACCACCACCATCATCATCATTTAATACAACAACAAATCTCGAACCATCATCAAATCCATTTGATACTTATGATGTTTCACCTGATGTAATTCAATCAATACCAGTTGCACCACCACTATTTAAATCTTTTTTACTTCCAACAACAACAACAACAACAACAACTACTTTAAATGATTGTTCACCAACAACAAGTAGTGTATTTACTGTTCAAAAACAAATAACATCTATTGATAATGAAGATAATACAGAAAGTATAATAATGAATCATTTACATTCTGTTAAATCATTAAAAAAATTTTTTGAAACAAAAATGGTTATACAACGACCAACATCTACTATGCAAACAATAACTTGTTCTCAACCAATAACAACAATTAATGAACAAAAACTTGATCGATCATCAACAACTAAAGAACAAAATTCAATAGATGAATCTAATCAACGACAAGAAATGATGAATAAAGTATTGGAAAGTTTAAAAAAGAAAAAATTTTATTCAAGAGCAACAAATGGTAAGATTATTTCAAATTTATTCTATGATTAAATATTTTTATAAGCTAAAGAGAATCTTCAAAAAAAAATATTTAAGTTTCATATGTTTGTTTATTTATCTCGTAAAGGGTGAGAGAGATATTCGTTAAAATACTTTTTGTTTTTTTATTTATTAATCAATTGAAAGAGTCAACATTGTTTTTTTTCTTCTTCTTTATTTAGATACTCCTGAACCAAGTGGTCGATGTTCAGCAATGACGATATCATCATATGATTCAAATCTAACTCAAAATTTAGCTGTACAACGTCATTATTCTCGACGTTTTCGTTCATCTTCAACAAGTAATAATTCTCTTTATCCTGGTGGTAATGTAATAATACATATAAATCCTACAAATTCTCATCATAATAAACGTGCTTATTCACAAGATCGTCAACATTATCAAACAACAGATCATCATATAAGTAATATTGAAAAATGGAAACAAGAACGACAACGACAAATAGAATCTGATGATGAAGATAATATATCGGAAAATTCTATGTTATGGCAAGCACGTACAAAATTAAATGAATTTGTAACTCGTACAAGAAAACATCAACAGCAATCACCATATTATACAACATGTACAAATGGTGGAACACCATCTGAAGATATATATATGTATGATGATAATGAAAGTGTTACAGCAGAAACACGTTTTTAAAAATGACACTTGACATGTATTTTTTTTTGGCGCCTTTGTTTTAATCTTTTTTTTTTGTTTCTCTTCTTGTTTATATTTGACCAACAAAAAAAAAAAACAATAATCGACAATTTAAATTTGTTCGTTTGTTTTATTTCATATTCTGATTTTTTTTTTGTTTGTTTTGATGATTTATAATACAATCTTATAAAATGATCTATAGAAAACGAAATTATTAATTTATATGGCGTAGCAAAATGAAAATTGATATTTAGTTGCGATATAAAACAATGTTTTACTGCAAATTACAATTAGTAAAACTATGGCAAAAACGGGAAGAAAATAAGATTGACAATCCATGTTCTATTGTTTGATACTTTTCCAACATGTATCATATTATCTAGAATAAACTTCAATAGTTTCCAACTACTTGATTCAAAGAATTGAATTCTATATTTAAAAATTATTCTCTTTCATGATTAATTATTTGCATTATTCATTATATATATCCAATCAAAGAAAATTTCATTATCATTTCATATGAACGATCAAGTGTCACATGAACAGCGATTTTTCTATTACTAAGACATTTTTATTTCACTTCAAAGAATACATATATATCAACATTATGACAGTCAAGCACATGACCAAACAAGACGTTTTGATGATGTACCACTATTTTTAAGTGCTGTTTTTAATTCTTGATCAATTACTGATTGTTTAAGACCTGATTTGAGTCGATGCTCACATAGATAAAGAAGAGCATTCGATGGTACCCATACAGGTTGACCAATTTGAAAATCATGCATTTTAAGAATAGCTAATGCTGTAAGAAGTGTTTGATCTTCAAATCCATTAGAGTCATCCGATTGAAAATGTACTTGACAAAGAGATACCGATGCTTCCTCATCATCAGTCTTGCTCACAAGAGCTAAAATAAAAAAAAAAAATCCTTCCTAACTTAGATCGATAAATAATATTCTCTGTCAATATTTACTAAAATTTTTTTTTTAATATTTTGTCAATGGCTGTTAAACACTTATAGACAAATTAACATTCTTTAAGAGCAAAATCAACTAAAACATCAATGTTAGTTTTTCATAGAGACACCTCGAGGTCACCCCTCTGACTTTTACCAGAGGAATAGGAATGTAAAAAAAAAGAAAGCTAAAATAGTAAGTTTAGCGGATACTTACTACTTCTGACCAAATACAGTGCAAGAAGAATCACCACTACAGTGGTACTTATCACCCAGTTCGATGGTTGTTGCATTTTATTCGTCTCCAATTTTGCGTTTATGAATGAAATTCACAATTAATCAAGCTCGAAAATGAAAATTGATTTTTCTTTTCTGTGTATCGTCGTGATATAAGCAGAACTATTTTGTCCCTTATTTTTACTTTTACGAACGTCTCGTCTTGTGCATAAACAATTTTTTCTTCGTTGTTCTTTTTCATTCTTGTTTTTTTTTTTTTATATCATATTCTCTATTCGTTGTTTCATTGCTCGATTTTACAATATATATTTATGTAATTTTAATGACTGTTCTTTTTTAAAGTAACAATCAACATATCTATTTTTTCTTTACATATATCATAATTAATAGACAAAACGATGATAAAAAAATCAATTTGACATTAAAAAAAAAGACTTTTCACGGATGATTAAACATCATGTTTCTTGCTGTAACTTAACAATTTGTTTGACAAGCTTCAGAGACAACGTAAAATATTGATTATTGTATTGGTTAGTTAGTTTCTACATACTCTTATTGATTTTCTATTGATATAAATCAATTAATTTCGTTTTTAAGAGTAAAATTGAAGACCGCAAACCTTGGTCTCGATATACATATATATATATAGTAGCTATTGATATCAACATGAAATGAAGGTTATTCTAAGAATAAACATAAACATTTGTCTGTAAAATAATTATGATTATTGACGAAAAGTAAAAGAAGCTGCAAGAAAGTGGTTTTTCTAAAATTATTCCTTTCACATACATATTTAGTAGGTGAAAGCTAAAGAGAAGCTAAGGCTAAACATGTAATTCGAAACAATTAAGGATATCTCAATGTTTCAAAATATATTTACTTTTTCAACCTATTAGATTACATAAAAGTATAGCGATGATAACCGGTTCATTTATAATGAAAATTCATTGATAAATGAATGATAGTGTATCATACAACGATGAGATTGAAATGCCTGGACAGGAAAGTGATGTTTCTACAATGTTCTGCATGATCGTTAATTTTACGATTACGATCACAATCCCGTGTGCTCTCGTGAATGATGAGAAACTTTTTTCGTGATCATAATCGTAATCGCGATTGAAACCAAAATTTCGTCATTCATGATTGGAATATATACATCCAAAGTCTCAAATATTTATTTAAGAATATAATGTTCATATTTAAATCAGAAAAAAAATCTGACAGTTCACATTTTTCTGTTAATAAAAAAAACAAAGAAAATCCACTAGCTAATGAAATACTATTTCATAATAGAACAAAACTGAAAAACATTGAAGAAATTACATCATTTAGTAATCTGTTCATCATCATCTTCACTTTCGATATTCACTAAAAGATAATGATTAATTTTTCGTTGTTGGTTCAACAAATCAGATACTGTTTTTGTTGATTGACAAGAACGTGAATGAACAAGCACAGAACTAGATCCTGTTGATGATTTATAAACCAATATTGACTCACAATAATCACAAATAACAAAATCTTGTTTAATATTGACGACATAAATTTGACTAAAATGAGAGCAACATTGGATATTCTTGTGGTTTCTTTTGGTTTTTCATGTAATATTGCTGTATGATTTTGTTCGATTAGTCGTTCAAATGTCTTTTTTATTCAGTTGAACGAGATTAGTGGTACACATTTTAAAAACGAAGATAAGTTAAAGTTTTTTTTTCACATCTTCAAAGTATTTTCGCGAGTAATCGAAGAGAAATAGCGACTTTTATTGTTGATTTCTATTCACTTTGGCTGTATTCGATGAAAGATATCAGACAGATGGCATCATCGAATGATGAAAAAATTTTTCTTGTCTTTAAATACTATGTAACATTCGTGATTGTAATTGAGAATCCTATTTTCTTTGTGATCGTGATCAGAAAAATCAATCACGCAGGACACTAGATGTTTCAAAGAGGTAAATATGTATGACTATGATGGAATAAGCATTCATGTATATATCCACAATTATGATTATTAATATCATCAGTGTGTTCTATTCCAACATCATCAGCAACAAGCAAACGTATACTTTTTCATATAAAACAAAAGTTTGAAAACTACTATGGTTGTGAAAATATTTACCAGATGTTAATTATCTCCAATTCGGATCCAAGTGCAATATCTATTTTACAATTATTTAAATATATAATTAAATCTTAAAGATTTTTAATATTTATCATTATTTGTGTCAGGACAAGCACAGTTCAAAGTTTTTGAATCGAATTAACAGAAAATATTTCGGACTCAAATTCGACCCGATGAGTTCTATCCTTTACACTGTATTGGAAATTTATTTTATAGGTCAGCGGTGGTCGTAACGTGTATGAGACAAAAAGAGAAAAATATTTCTCAAATATCATTTTGATCACATGATTAGGTATACAAATTTAGAGTGTTCTGTTTGCAATGACGACATCATCACACCTTTGGACCCCTCCCTCTACCTTTCATGAATTGCTATTTTTTTTGTGCGCCCTTGCTCTCTGATGACGTAGTATTCAACAAACCCATACGTAAGATATAATCATGATTTTTTACATACACAAAAGAGAAAGTATTTATTGAGTAAATAAATGAACACAACACAAGAAAAATGAAGAAAGAAGAAAAGGCATATGTATATATGTATATGAATAAGAAATAAAAAACGATAGTATTGATAATAATAGTTAACATCAAAAGAAGAATATTTATTTAATTTGATGTTGATAAATCAACTTGAAGGAAATCAACAAGTAATTTTTTAAATTGTTGAATACGATCAGTTAAATTTTGTAATTCCAATTTTAGTTCTGTATTTGTATTTTTTAATTTTAAATGTCGATCAAGTAAATGATGACGTTCAGATTTTTTTTTGATTCGATATTTTTCTGCTGCTGTTTTATTTTGATCTTTTTTTCGTAATTTACGTTCAACAGCTGATAATTTTGGTTTTTTCATTGATGGTGTTGGAGATGAATCTGTTGATGATAGAGATGGTGATGATGGAACACTCATATCTCTATTGTTTGTAGATTCTATTGATGATGAATCTTCAATACTTGATAAAGGAGAACTATTTGTATCCATAGGAGGAGATGGAAAAGATGATTGACTTATCCATTTTTCAATATCAATTTCATCTATTGATATTGAGTCAGCAAGAAAATCTATTCAAGAAAAAACAAAAGAACATATTTATTAATTAGATAGATTTTTTTTGAAAAATTTTTTACCTGATTTTTCATCAAAATCATTGAAATTAACAAGATCAAAATCAGAGAAAAATTCTTCTTGATGTTGACTATTATCATTCAGACTATCGTTAATTATATCATTATGGATTGCCTTTGTTGATTGAACAGGAGATAGATAAATATCAATGTCATCAAGTAAATAAAAATCAAGTGATGTTAAACTAGAATTTAATTTATTGATGCCATCGTCGCCAATCGATGGCGTCAATAGATCTTGGGATTGATATTGTTCGTATAGCATGGTTTTCGTCTTTTTTTTTAGATTTTAGGGAGAAAAACAAGAGAAAAGGTGTGGCGGACGCCATTTTGATTTCCATAATTAAAAGCTAAAAAAATAAGGAAATAAATGTTTTGAAAACCAGATTTATGTTGCTTTTTATGTCGTACTTTGTTGTGATGGGCACGTAAAGAGCGTGCTCGCTAGCCGAAGCTAAAGCGCCTACAAAGGTCGCGACGTTGCTAAGTTAATATCATGTTGAAATCTGTCAAAAAATAAAGCAAAAAATGATGATGAAATTGTTCGATATAACTCTTTGTAGTTTCTTTATTTCCTACAAATTAAACTGCATGATGCAATGTTTATTCTGATTCATGAATGAGACATGAATGAGAAAGATTTTTTTTTAATTGCTCAATTTTTATTAAAATTTCTTATTCATAATAAAAAGTACATAAAAACCATATAAAAATTATTAAAAAAAAAAATTATAAATGCGTAAATAAAAGTCAAAGAGAAAAGATGTCACCACATATTCGGAATTTAAAAACAAATCAAATACAGGCAGTTTGTTCTATAGTCGAGTCCGCTTATAAGAGTGCGGTCGGGACCTGTAAAAGAGGCTCTTATATGCGGACCGCTCCTTTATCCGAACTATATTTAAAACAGTGCAAAAATTGATTCCTGTCAACATTTATTAAGTAGGACATAGGCATACATAAATTTACTTGAAGAAATCCATGATTTTACTTTGAGTACTATTAATTAAAGCGTTCTTTTCGATCATGTCTTCGATATCATAATATGAATTATACTCTGTAAATTCTCTTCCAAATACTTGCGAACGATTGAAAGATGCATCAGCGTATCTTTATGAGATACCTGGCATCGGTTCATCAACAATTGCGGCTTCTTCTTCGTCTTCTTCTTCTAAAATATATATTACCTTTTGGATGGATGAATATCTGATCCCTTTATTGAAGAAACAGCAAGTATATATACATAGGAGAGAGACAATAGATGGACTAGAGAAAAAGTCTAGAAGCTTCGTCCGACTGTTTAGAAAATGAATAATAGACAGAAAAAGACAATGGTTCTTCTTACTCAACAAAGACGTCAGTTAGAAAAAGTGAGTAAGACGAAAAAGAGCATACGTGCAACAGATGAATAGAAAAAGAAAAGAACAAGAACATACAATATGGCTCTTTTATGTGGACTCAAATCGCAAAAAAGCGCCAAAACAAAGCTCTTATAAGCGAACCGCTCCTTTATCCGAGGCTCTTATAAGCGGAGTTTGCCAGTACATAAAACATAGGAGAAAAAAATGGGAAATTGGAAAACGGCTCTTACAGGCGGACCGCTCCTTTATCCGGAGCTCTTATAAGTGGACTCGACTGTATATATATTTTAAATGTCAAACAAAGTATTTTCATTGTTTTATTGTTTAATACTGTAGATGCGATGATTTTGTGAGTGAGTTCGATTTATTCATAAAATACTTGTTACTACTCATCAAAAACGCAGACAATTGGAAAAAGAGAAAAATATTTATATGTCAGCATGTTGAATTGGAAGGAGAGTTTTCGGAAACTGAAAAGATGCATATAGGAGTTTTTGAAAGTAGGCAGATGAAGAAATTTCTTATTTCAATTTACGATTGTGACTGGAAAAAAGTTCAATCTATCATATTGCAAAAACCTTGAGGAACTCATTGGGATAATTCAGCATACAAGGTAATGATATTTCCGAAACTTGCGTGTATTCTAGAGATCTCTATCTGAATAGGTACAGTTAATCCAAGGAGAATAAAACTAATATCATAAGGTGTATTCAATTACCAGAATGGTAAAGAATTATCATTATTAATCTATTCATCAGCATATTCACTTTTGTTCTACTATCTTTATACTCTAAAATAAAATGGCATAAACGAATCGATCCATTTCTATTTGTTCAGTATTCTTTGGTCAGTTTTCCTTCTTCAATTTTTACTGAAAAAAAAATGTCCACACTTTTAAAATACGAAGAGGATTGTTATTGATAACTCATTTGCTATTATTAAATTGTTACTCTCCTAACCGAAGATATTGGTCACACATAAGTCAACTCTACTATGATCAAATGAGTGGCATAGTTTTTGTTTTAATTAGTTGTTTGTTAATGTTATCAGATGAATGAATGAATGAATGAAAAGAAGAATAAATACAAGTAAATATTATTACAACGGATTATTTCTTATTAATTTCATTTATTTAGTTATTTCAATGAGAAATAGACAACTAATGATTTATCAATAGATAAACTCAAATTGAGGACTTTTTCTGAGTAAGAATAACAAAAACGAATTGATTTTGTTGACGCGCTTTCAAGCAATGCTTCCAACATCACGTATTCTTTGTTCGATAGCGATAAATTGAACTAAAAGATCAAGGATGAACTTCATGCTTTTACTATTTATCAGTCTCAAAGGTGTTCAAAACAAATCATCATCGTTTTATTAACAAATGTCAACCAGGTTAAAAGTCGATGAACGATAAAATCGTCATTAAAGTAAAGTTATAGAAAAAAAAACGAAGAAATTCAATGAATTTGACTTGTTGGAAATATTCACCTTTTATTTTTTGTATTCTAAAATTAAGAATGCTTGAATTCAATTCAGTTGCTTAATTCTTTTTGGAAAATTCTTGATTTAAATTTTAGTTTTTGTGCTTAATTTCAAGATTATCAATCATTCATTCATGAATGTTGATAATAAAATTAAATTTCATTGTAAAATAAACATTAATGTATAGTGTATGTAATCGAAAACAAAAGTTGTTGAAAGATTTGTCGAAAGAATCTACATTTTTTCTTTAGAATAAATCATTATATATTGTTTTTAAATAAATCCTACACAAATGAAGATTTCGAAAAAATGATCATCATTATGACACGATTCAATAATATAATAATAAATTCGTTCTTGAAACATTATGCAGCAAAATATTTTGAACAGAAGATTTTCAATTTCTTTACTTCTTTAGATTCTATCATACCAATTAATGAATATCAATTAAATATGCAAGCAAATATTTGAAACATGCAAGTATTGTAGCTTTTCATCGAGACATTAATGTTAAGTGAAGAATAATCAAACATGAAAAAACATCCTGGTGTTATTATTTCCACCTATAGATTTTCATCGATTTCAACAAATATAGACATTTCACTTTCACGGACTAGTTCAACGTATCTCAATAATAGGTTTGAGACAGTATTGTTGGAAAATGTAAAGTTAACCCATATCTAAAATTAGTGTTTTGTTCATATGCAAAATATGGATGTGAATGTGGGTGACGATTAAAATAACACCGACAGTCACACGCACTGATGAATCGATTTTAACCCATTTTTATTTATTTACATTCGTCATCTTGATGGAAATGAAGAGACAGATGGTTGAAAAAAGTCCTTGATGAGATATAATCCCATCGAAAGAAAGAAGGACAGATGCAATCTTGTTTTTTTCTTCAGCATTGCTTTCTTGATGCATTTTACTTCCCCTACAATATAAATGACAAAAAACATGTTGTAACTGTATCTTTCTTTTAATTTCTCTCGCTTGTTATTGTCGCACTTTCAGCAGAAATCCAACAAACGTATGCAGTCAACGCTACAGACGAATTTCTTTTCGTGAAATAAACTTCTGTGTTGGCGCAAAGACATCAAGCATTCACTTTAATAGTTATATTTGTTCTTTTCTAAAAGAAAGAATCTTTGTTTTGAATATCGCTGCTGGTGACAGTTAGAACAAAGTGATACTTTCGTGCAAACAAAATAATAAATACAGGATCTACTCCTATCATATGACTGTCCATTTATTCATTAAAAAAACTTGAAACTATGAACACATTTTAAAAAAAGACAAGCAATCGGCTCATCATTTGTCCACTGTACGTTAAAATGTACTACTCTCTGTCGAATGCATACAAGCATAAATCACTGATAGATCATATTCACAATCAATATTGTGCTCTGATAATACTTATCATTTTCAAGTTATCATATAGAACAAAGATTAATACCATTGATATTTCAACACCAGTTTTTATTGGAAACTAGTTAGGTTATATGTTTTTGATTGAAGCATAACGATTGCAAACATAGTTTTAGTGAAGTACATATTTATAGTACTCGAATTATCTCATTGATGTGGTTATAGAAAAAAAACAAACAATTACAATGTATTATACACATATTTCCGATGAGTGTAACATAAATAAAAATATCGCATAAGCTACGACGAGAGTGAGGATACATTGAGACTGCTAGCGTTACTCACACTACACCCATGCAATGTTTCATGGCAAAATACAGATTCTCTTGTCTATTGCTACAGTATGATTTCAAATTGCATGGTTGTTTGTACAAATATCGGTCCTTGACAATCAAAATCTGAACATACAGATTATTTTTTGCATATTTTGTGTAGAAGCAGCTGGATTCTAAAAACTATTGAGTCGTTTTTTAACATTGGACAGTCCGATGTCTGGTTTAGTAATGTTATATGATCAAACAAGTTACAAAAACAATAAAATAAACAAGAGAAAAACTAACGAACAGAGGTGTTAAGCTCATAGACAATACTCAAGTTCGTTTCATCAGAAAATATGATATATATATCTACAATTAATTACTCTAGCTAGGGTGAGAGTGAAGGTAAATTCTCAGAGCCAGTCTCTGTAAACATCCTCGATCAGGATGAGAAAATAATTATCAACTATGACGTGCCGTGTATATCTACGGTGATTAATTACGATGAGAAAAGCTTTGCTTTCGTTGAAATGTTTGTTAATTAGCAGCAGTATATTCATAACTAAAAGTCATTCTTCGAATGTTACTTTGGTTAGCGTTGAATATACTTTTTTCTGTTTGGTCAACATTATCAAGATTTCAATCACATGCATAATGAGTAAAACTGCGTTAGTAACGTCTATATAGTTTTATCTTTTTGTATTCTTCTTCCGAAACCTTCTCAATGAGAA